GAGGCCGAACCGGTTGCGAATCGAAAATGGTCTATATTATGCGATACGTCATAGGTTTCGGGACATCAGAAGCTCTTTAAATCTGATATAAAAAATCCAGGGTCGTATTTAAAAAAAAATAAAGTTGATGATGGTGGACCAAAGAAGAAACGTCATATTTAAATTTGATAGTGGCATCTTGTAGAGGAGAGCTTTGGCATAATTCAACTAACCCTGTATCTCTTACCGTTTCTAATATCCCAATAATGCTGCTCAAATTTGGGACACCCTGTACAATAATTTATTTGTTACTCATTTGTGAAAGATATAAGAACAAATAAAATATTAATACATAACAAAATAATAAAATGTATATTTTTTTCCTTGATTTTTTTTACACAAGCCTTGGTAGTTGCAATAACTATGCGCACGAGATGTTGCGGATAAGTTTCGCATGCGGAAAAGACACTTTGTGCACGTGTTAGGTACAACATTTGCCCTATGAGCTTCACATCAGGTAAGAACAAAAGTTAAGAAAAACCATAATTTGTCTGCGTCGCTATATTATATAGCTACTTGTATACCGTATACCATTTTCTCGCAAGAAATTCGACAGTTGCTTGATAAATCTACTTTTATTGCTAATGTTGGATAAAAACTTTTTTGCGTTACCGTAACGACCATCCTCTGTAATAGCTATTTACCTAACAAGTGCGGAAAATAAATTTTTCCGCACGAGGTCGTAGACCGAGTCGTGGTCATACCAGAGGGGTGTGATGAGTCTTACCGTACGTGTGATATACAACATTTTATTTACGACCTTCACAATAAGTGACTATTGTCGTTTGCATTGGCGTATCCAGGATTTTGGTTTGGGGGGGCTCTGTTAACAAAAAGTGTTGAACAAAAAAAAAAAAAACGCTGCGCACAATACAATAGTCCATTTTCACTTGCCTCTTATTAGCCAATATATTCATGCGCTTGTTTCCACATGTAGAAATGCCGAAATGTTTTACTAGAGTTCAACGATTATACCTATATATCGCTCCTCATTTTGAATATTGCGGTACACTGTATCATTATCTAAGTTTGACTCAAAGAGACATGCTACAAAAACTGCAAAATCGTTGCATGAGAGCAATATTACTTTGTAACAAAAGAACACCAATAAAATCCATGCTGGAGAAATTAGACCTTATGAATGTACAACAAAGATCTACTTACATAATGCTTACTTTTGTTTTCAAACTAAAACATAATATATTACCATCATATTTATCTGATGAAGTTACTTATGTGCGAGATGTTCATTCATACCAAACGCGATCCAGTGTGGTAAATAATTTTTACATTAGCGATTTTCAGAGTGACACTTTGTTTAGTGTAGGCTTAAGAATGTTTAACAGTATACCCGCAGAATTGAAGCAATGTGACTCCTACTCTAGATTTAAGACTGAATGTAAAAAATATGTAAGAACTTTATAGACTTTGTTGAATACTTTTCCAGACATTCCATGTTGGGTATATACCTACTGGTTTAAAATATTTCATAAAATAATTTTGTAAGAGCTTTTTATTGCTAATAAAGTGTTTGATATATATACCTGTCCTTTCTTTTTCTATGAAGTAGTAAAGGACAAAAATAGGTCATAGGTTTTTGTGACTAGTTTTATGTCAGCCATGTTTGGGAATAGTTTACTAATGAGAAATTCGGCATCCTCGCATGTTTAGGAAAGTGACGTCCCTTTCCTATCCCGCGTTTTACAGCAGTTTAAAAATTCGATTTTCAAATCTTTTTATTTTCGAAAATTAGCAATTTTGGGAAGAAAGTATACTGATGGTATCAAAATGACTAACAGATTAATTTAAAAATTTGAAAGTTGCCTATTTTTGTCAGAATTCACCTGTAACATACCCAAATGTTACGCGCTTATTCTTTTATTTCCTACTGAACTATTATAACCATATAATACCTTGGTTACGATAATCATAAACAGGGTCTTAAGGATATCATAACTCCCAAGGGAGTTAAGGATTTCCATAACTCCCGCTTTTACCTTGAATAGGTGAAACTTTGACAAAAAATAGAAATTTTGGTTTATAGTTTATTCCTTTATAAAAATGGACAAAATATAGTAAATTCAGTAGGAAATAAACTTATCTATGTACCACGGGAATTATCAGGTGTTAATACCCACGGGCAATTGGTGTGCTTCGGGCCGAAGGCCCTCGGGACACAAAATTTGCCCTGGGGTATTAACACCCTCATAATTCCCTTAATACATAAATAACTATTATGCGGGGCGATAAAAATGTTCGTATTGGGCTACTTATTCGCTTTTTTTTTTGTAAGAGGAGACATTTCGTACACGGAGCCCCTTCTTTCCTCAGGAAGGAAAGTATTTCAGACATTCAAGATGATTAGGATGAAGCACTGATTCCCTTGCTGCATTAGGCGCCCGCCATAGAAAAGCCTTATTATATGTAGAAAGAAATACCTTTATTTTTATTTTTTTTACAAAAATTGTACGTCACATAAAATGCGCTGAAAAAAAAAACGTCTAGGCTTGCCTTGGGGGGGGGGGCTGCAGCCCGGCAGCCCCCCCCTGGATACGCCTATTCGTTTGTCCATTATAAATAATTATTGTGTTCTCGATTGTGTACTAGGGCGATAATGAACGCGTTATGATTCATTACCGCACTAGTGCGGTAATAGGGCTTATTACATATGGCACATAAGCAGAAATTAGTGATATAATAATTAGGTACCTATTGTACTGGTCGTAGATAAAAAAAATTTGGAAGCATTGATAATTTAACGTGATTTTACATTGTATTGCCAACTTAATGTCATTTTGACGTATCTTTAATTTTGAGACGGACTTTACTTTATCCCGCATAATTATTTCTATGCAAAATTCATGGCAACTATTGCTAGCGTTTATATTAATAAAGTGGTTTTCTTGAAAACATCGGTGGATTTTTGTAATTATTAAGAACCAATAACTCAACTTAAACAGGAATAAACACAAACTATAAACAATCCAAATACTTCGGAATAAAAAAGAATAATGAAACAAAAAAAAAAAAAAAAAACAACCGCTACGCTGTTCTAGAAGTTCGTCGCGTTAAAGCAGGGATGTCCTTCGCACTTGGCGTTCACAGTGTTGTCGCGAGCATTTTCATCCCTTTTCGGCGCTGAAAACTTTGAAATTTGCCAGAAGATTAACTGTTGAAAATAAAGAAAAAATTTCTGGTGGTTTTTTGCGTCTAATTTTACAGGCTACAACATTTGTTTGAAACTTTTCTCGAATTTCCTGTTTGTTCGCGAGATATTTGAATTTCAACCCTTTAAATGCGATTTCCACCCTGACGCCAAGGGCTAATAGTTAAAATTTATGCATATATCGATTCAGCTCGTCAAAATACATAATAATAAAATGTTTATTTACTGTTACTCCAAATTGTCTCACTATCGAGCTCGTCTCTTCGACTATAACCCTTTCGCTGAAAGTACATTGGGCGAATCTCTCCCATTATCATCTCCATACTCTTTCTCGTCCATCAGGTGACCTCAGGCAAAATCGAGACTCGTCTGAAAATAGAACTTGCCTCCACTCTTGAAGGTTCCAGTTAATGTGTGGTAGATATGCTAGGTTCTACAAAATCTAGCGTGGGAAGAGCCGTAGCAAGGTTTCGTGAGACTGGAAATTACATAGCTGAGTCAATCTGGGGGGTCAGGGTGCAACAAATTAGCAACAAGCTGATTCCAGCGGGAATGTTTAGTAAATGACCTCCTATTTAACCTCCCAAAAGTCCCATTCAGTCCTAGGGGTGGAAGGTTGAAAAAAATGGCCGCCATCTTGGATTTTTTTGTTTTTTTCAAATGTCTCAGTTTCTATTAGTTTTTTCGAAAAAACTCAAGAAACCTTTTTTGTGGAGAATCTAATTCTCTATAAAAAGTGTCTGTACGTTTTTTTTATAACATGAAGGATAAGGGAGATACAGAGCTTTTTATGGTGATTATTTCATTCATTATAAAATAGACCCATCAGACAACGTCATTTTTTGAATGAATTTTGTTTAAATAAGTGATTATTTCACAAGACCTTGTTTATCAGCGATTAAATTTTTGTTTACCTTTTTTGACAGAATTTTGATAGAAAAATTCTCACATTTTATAATAAATAGAACTCTTTGGATAGGATTGACGCCAACAATTCAATCCTAATTATTCAGGAAATAATCTAGCCGTATACCACTCGACCGATAAATTTAAATGGATTAAACTATCCAAATATTTTTTGCATAATTTTGCTTTTCGGCAAATAGTTTCATGCACAATAACTTTTAAATAAAAGCCCGAGACCGCGAAGCCATGAACATAGTTGGGCCCTTTGTGTAGTTCACTAGAGGGTTGTAAGGCCTCCAAGGTCCGTATCTCTGTGCGTGACGTCCAGGAATTATTGCCTGAAAGTCACTAGTTATCTTGAACCAAGATAACGACTACAAAGCCCTTAAGGAAGAACTTTGGGGATAATTATCACAAATGGCTACTTTGTGTAATTAAATGAGTAGAAACTATTATTGTTTGATACTGAGTTTTTGTGCATTCAACTATTTTCCAAGCAAAATCATGCTCAAAATATGTTGGATAATTTAATCGATTAAATTTAAAGGTCTTGTGATATAATATATGAATATTTCAAACATTTCTTTACTTTTATCCCATTCGAATTAAATATCAATTTTTCATAAATGAACAATCGTATAATACAAAAATAATGAAGCTTATAATAATAGTGTACATATTATGTATTCAATAATCTCAAATTAAACTTCAAAAAGTTCCTGTGTGACGTCATCCAGACCGTCATCCTCCTCCTCATCTACCACGAAACAACAGTTCGAACAACTGATTCCGTAACATTGCCCACACTTGGAAGAACACTTAAGTCCAAGTTTTCTGCATGAACAGTTTTTGGAGCAGTTACTTTCTTTGCAATTGCAAAAAATCAGTTTCAATAGATCAGGGGAACTACAGCTTCCTTACATTGTACAGGTATCAGGTTACCTTGCTTATTTTTCTTCCACCCGTATTGCAGAGGGTCCAAGTTGTTGCCAATCCATTCTTGAATCTGAAAAATAGAACATATTTTCTAAAACTTGTTATTTTTATAGTTCACGGGTGATACCTGAAAGTATGTCCTGAGAACATGTTGTTCTGCAGAGTCTGCGGTTGGGGGCAAAGTAGCCAAATTAAATGTGGACTTGAGTCCTTGCTGTCCATGCTGTCCTATTGTATAAAGTATACCTCAACAAATTAATATCTTTGATATGTTTTGGGCAGCGATACAGCCTCAAAATAAAATTTAATCCCGACTCAAGAAAATCATATCTGCTTGCATTACTATTCAAAAATACGTCAAATTTTTGGGAGAGATCATTATCTTCCTTAAGTAGCGAAAGACAAGTTGTTTTGGATTTATTGAACAGGAAAGATGTGGTATCACATCCTGATATGGCATGCAAAAACAATATGTGTTTTTTCAGATGTCCAAGTTTATCTTGTATGCCAGATATCGTTGATACTTTGTTACCTTTTGCTGCTTTCCCTGGGCGAAGCATGGATATATTTTTATTTTTTGCATGATGTATAAGCAAAACCATTATATCGGTGTCCTCTGAGACAACTGTGACGTGTTTTTTTATCATGGATAGTTCTACTGCTGTCATTGTAATAAGATAATCAGCATCCCTGGGTGCTTGATGCACAGTTATACCTACGTCTTCAAAGTAGGTTCGAAGGATATTTATAAACTGTGTCTTATTTTGACTGTTCTTCAAAAAATCCACTTGTGGTATAATTACCGAAGCTTGGGCATGGATGGAAATTTCTATGCTTCCCTTTGATCTGCATCGTTGTAAACTTTCTTTGGTTGATATAACCTCTTTCGTGTAGCCGTCGAAGACTATGACACAATCCTTGTTATAGTTGTGAATAACATAATTTACATATTGAAGGAAGATGTCATTATATGAGGCTGGTTTTTGCCATGAGACTTTGTGTAGCAGAAATCCTCCATCTATAACATAAACAGTGTCTGAATGGGGCATACTTTCTGGCTTATAGATCTTATCAAGCTCCTGAAGAAGTTGAGATTTTGTTCCTTTTCTTAGATTACCATCTTTAAAAAGTGATAAAGGATATGGCGACAACTCATATTTGAAGCAATGTTTTATTTCTTCTGGTGTTTTATTTGAACAAATTATTCTGTTGAAAAGTTGCATCGGGTTGAAGTCTATATATGTATTATGTAGCTTGATGCTACTATTCATAGAAGCCAAATTTTTTGATATTGTCCTTTCTTTTACACTGAATATCAGTAAAATGTTTCTCAATGTGACTATTGAAAATGACTTCTCCGATTTCCTGAGCTTTATCACAATTTACATCAGGAGAAGCAATAATTCCTGTTGAAATAGACAAAAGCTCTGAACATTTGAAGGGGTTGTGATCTTGTAGCCACTCTAGAATTTTTTTTAAATCACTTTCCTTTCGGCGTTGTCGGGCATTTGTTAATTCAATATGTTGATCTGAAGATATTGACTTTACTTGAACAAACTCTTCTAAAGATATACCAATAGGGATACACGATGACATACTTGATATCCATCTGGCCAAAGAGGCATCAGAAAATCCACGGCCTTGAGTCAGGCCTCCTTGAGTTTTCATTGCTCTCATGAGGCTCTGTTCAATTACCATGTCGCTCCATGTTCCTGACCAAAATTTACTTCTTCGGCGAATGGTGAATAATCCCTGATTTACGAAACGACAATATTCTTCTTCATTGATAGATTTCAATTTTTTCATTTGTAGCAAATAAAGATGTGCACACTTGGCGTAGTTATTATGTCCAGTAGCATAAAATATAGGAATCATCCGTTTAATGCAGTGAATATGAAGCCACCAAATTCCCATTCTTTCAGCTTGAACAAAAAGTTTTATTAAATTGATCAAATTCCAGTAATTTGCCCACAACTTTCCAGTTCTGCTAGTGTTAGCTAAATCATCAATTCGTCCATAGACTTTTTCTTGAACTTCAATAAGTAATCCATTTTCTTTGATAACATTGAGTTTGGTATCATTATACAAACTATGAATATTTTGAATGTCTTCCTCGGATAATGAGAGAATTTCTGGGTCATCCAACATAATTAAAATTAAAGCTTCGTGTATTAGAAAATGTCCTCGTAAAGCTCTAGAATAAGCATGGCCACTCATCATATGGGGTACAGTATTTTTTGCATATACGGTTGTCAACAATTCTTCTATTCCACTTCCGGCCATGATTTTTCCAACGCTTCCCATAAAAGACATCAGAGTGTGGAAACCTCCGAGCCTGACAATCACAGAAGACACAATATCACTTTTATTTGAGCCTTCTACGATATCTACAGCTTTTTGAAAAAGTGGTTGGTCAAACGTTACGATACAAGATTTTTCATACCGTTTGCTTTTTTCGGCCGCAAATGAAAGAGCTGTATAAATTGTGTTCAAGTTGCCAGGATCCAAGTTGATAAAGGGTAACGGTATAATACTTGTATCCACGTTCAAGGAGTCAGACTCAAGAGTAGACATAAAACCAGTCCAGGAAATTGAGGAAAAAGACAAAACCTTACCAGTTAGCCACAGAGTGTCTAGAAGTACCGGTAAACGTTCATTTTCAGCATTTGGTTCCTCTTGAATGGATTCAATTTAATACGACCAAGTCCGCTTTTGGCAGGTGTTTTGTAGAACTGCAAAGAAAAAGATTGATGATTTAACAAAGTTTTACCTTGTATAATTTAAATATTTTTTAAGATCTTACCTGTAAACGTAGACTCCCAAATTCTCCAACATTTGACGCAAGAACCCGATTTTTTGGCCTAGGAATACTTTGAATATTAGAGCCGGTAGAAGGCGAACAACACATTATTCCTCCCATAGAATGGAATGTCCCATGTCCATCCATGGTACGAATGTTAAAGTCTGCGTTATCATATACAAACTGTACAAAACTTTCGTCAAATATAGAGTCTTTATGATTAATGATCGCTGAGTTTTCAAATGCCAAACATTCCGAATATGACACGGAAACACCAAGAGCTGCAAGTGTATCAATCAAATATCTTAAGGCATATTTGCGGTGCAGTTGAATTCCCAGACCAAACATCACTGGTGAAAGGAAGGATTTAACACGTACCAAAGAGATAATAAAGTTTTTCATTCACTTTAGTCTGATATAGTGAGCTTTTCCTGCCTTTTAGGACCAACTCCTCAAAGAAAACGTCAAGTGAATTAGGAAAAAATGAATTTCCACCTGTTTTGATATCATCGCAAGAAGGATACTCATTCAAATTAGTAACCATTCCCCTAATGTCCTCTTTTAATATTTGGGCGGCTGCCTTTAGAATGGAAGCACGTTCTTCTTCAGGTGTATTGTTTCTACTATCCCTTTGTTTTAACCACTCATCGGAAACAAGTTTTTCACAATTATTCTTTAAACATATCACTGAAGGTTTTCCAGGAATGTCCGTAGCTAATATTTTCTCATGATATTTTTTTTTCAATCTATTTTTGAAAAAATAAACTGACCATGGCTCAGTGTCGGTATTATGTATTTACTTTGATTATGGAAGTACAGTATTTGAATAGCAGATATGATAAGTTTACTGACTATTTAATATGAACTTTATTTTCACATACTCTGACATAATGACATACAACAATTAACTGGTAAAGGTGAACAATATAATTTAGTGCATAGTGGACACTACAAATCCTCCCTGGCAAATTTAAAGATTCAGTTTTTCTGGTTGTTTTCTCGTTCTAATACTTCTTCGCAATGTCTCAGCATTTTCTGGTATTTGATTGGGTTTGGTTTTTGATTGGTAAAAAGTTTCAATGTTTTGATCAGTACTTTCCACCGGAAAAGTCTCTTGGTCTCTCGGTTCTTGATCATCTAATATCATCTCCGCCGAAGTGGAAACTTCTGGAGTCGAATCGGAAATTATAATTGTGCTTTTACTTTGCTCAGGATCAATATAAGAAAAATGTTGAGTAGATGAAGCACCTACAACATTATCTCTTGTAGTATTTTCGGTGTCCAGAGTTTGCTTTGCCTCTGGAACATAACAAACGTTAGGCTGTGATACTGGACACTCAACTTTAGTTGAAGCAATATGGTTTATATGTCTTCTGATTATTCTGTCTTCCATTTCAATCAAATAAATAAGATTGCTCTCTCTCTTCAAAATTCTACCAAATTTCCATAGACAATTTTTCCTACTATCAAAATGTCTCACTCGAACGCTTTCGCCCACCATAAATTTAGAAGATGCTTGATTTGCCACCTCAATGGGTTTTTGAAATCTAACTAAATCTAATTTAGTTCGTATGTCTCTCCCATACATTAATTGAGAAGGTGACTGATTATTTGAAGTGTGGGGTATTTTTCTGTATTGCATTAAAAAATTTTGAAGTTTCAAATCAAGATCTCCTGGGTCATCTACCATCTTCTTTAGAGTATTCTTCATGGTTCCCACATATCTTTCAACTTGGCCATTTGATGCGGGATGATATGGTGCAGTAAATTTATGTATAATTCCATTGGTTTTTAGGAAATTCTTAAATTCCTGTGATGTAAAAGATCCTCCATTATCACTAACCAAAGTTACAGGTAAGCCAAAACGTGCAAAAACACCTCGTAAAATTGAAATCGTCTTCAAAGTATTCATGGACTTGGTAATAAAAATTTCAGGCCATTTAGAATATGCATCGCAAATTACTAAAAAGTATGTTCCTTGAAACGGTCCCGCAAAATCAATATGTACGCGCTGCCACGGTCCTTTCGGAGTTTCCCAACAATGCGGTGGAATATTAGTTTTGTTGTGTAACATAGATTGACAACTTTGACATTTCTTAGCCAATTCTTCAATATCAAGATCTATTCTTGGCCACCAAACGAAAGAACGTGCAAGTGATTTCATTCTCACTATACCGGTATGTGCTTCATGTAATTCTTTTAATACTCTTTGACGAAGCGTTTTGGGCACAACAATACGTGAATCTTTTACTATAGTACCTTCGTTTAAAGAAAATTCTATATCTTTCCCTTTAAATTCATTTTCTTCAATTTTCTTTCCAGTTTGTAAACTTTTGTAAACATTTCTCAATATTGGGTCTTCTTGTGTTTCATTAGCAATTTCTCTATGCGTAACTGGTAACGTTAGAATTTGTTGTAACTGATGAATTGTAACGCCATCCATTGTTTGATTGAAAACTGGAGTGATTTTTTGAGGCAATCTCGAGAGTGCATCAGCATTTAAGTGTTTTTCGCTAGAACGATAAATAATGTCATAATTAAAGCCTTGCAGAAATTGAGCGTAATGAAGCATTCGAGTAGCTACCATACTGGGAAGATTTTTGTTTGGATTAAATATAGAAACTAGAGGTTGATGATCAGTAATCAGCGTAAATTTTCTTCCATAACAATACTGAAAAAAATTATTACATGCCCAAAAAATAGCAGTTGCTTCCTTATCAATTTGACTGTAGTTTTTTTCAGCTCTCGTTAGACTCCTTGAAGCAAAAACAATAGGACGTTCACCATCAGGAAAAATATGAGATAATACTGCACCCAAACCTTTAGGACTAGCATCGGTTGCCAAAATTAAAGGTAGTTTCGGATTATATGCGCAAAGAATCTGATCAGATGTTATTTTCTTTTTAATTAAATTAAAAGCCTGATCACAGATAGATGTCCATCGGAAAATAACATTCTTTTGTAAAAGTTTGTACAAAGGATGTATTTTTGAAGAAAGATCTTTCAGAAATCTTCCATAGTAAGTGACCAATCCTAACCAACTTTTTAACTCAGTGACATTTGTCGGTACTGGTGCATTCTTGACAGTTTTTATTTTGTCTTCAGTTTTCTCTAAACCCCTGCTTGAAATTTTATGACCCAAATATGTTATGGATTCTTCGAAGAATTTACATTTTTCTTGTTTAATATGAAGACCAGCTTCTTGTAGACATTGTAAAACAGTTCTTACTCTATTCACATTCTCTTGTAATGTAGCTCCTTGTATTTTGATATCATCTAAAAACACACAAACTCCGGGTATTTTATCCAATAGGTTTGAAATGTAACGTTGCCAAATAGCAGGAGCAACTTTGGTTCCAAACATCAATCTATGTACCTTATAATCTCCCTTTTCCGTAGTAATTGCTTGCATTCTTGAACTTTCTTCATCCATTGGCATATGTAAATAAGCTTCGCGAATATCCAAAGTAGTAAAAATTTTCCCTCCGTGCATTGTAGTCGCAAAAATATCTTCTATGTTTGGAATCGGAAATTTATCATTTATTAAAACTTTGTTCAATGTAATTTTGAAATCCGCGCAAAGTCTTACAGAACCGTCACTTTTCATAATTGGTACAACCGGTGTGCCCCATTCACTGTATTCCATTTTAGTTAACACTCCTATTTCTTCTAGTCTATCGATTTCTCTTTCCACTTTTTCCTTCAATGCATAGGGAACTTTTCGAGCAGGAACATAAATTGGTTTTGTATTGTTTGGTAAAAATAATTTAGCTTTATAATTTGAAATTTTTCCAAGACCTGGTTTAAAAACTTCTGGAAAATTATTTTTAAGTTCTTCTATAATTTTTAATTTCAAGAAATCTGGGATATTTTCATTTTGTAATTGACAAATTTCAGGTAAATCGACTTTAATTTTCTGCATCCATTCTCTCCCGAAAATAGGTTCAACTTTCCCTGGTAAAATATATAAATTTAGTAATTCAATTTGATTATTTAATTCAACCTGGAAAGTTGAATAGCCGATAGGTCGAATTATTTCTCCAGTGTAAGTTCTTAAAGGTAAATTTGTTTTTTGCAATGTTTTTTTTGAAAATTTTGCGTTAAACAAATCTTGTGAAATCGATGAAACTGCAGCGCCTGTATCATATTCAAATTTAATGGATTCTCCATCTAATTGAAGATCTAAAAGAATTTTGCCTGGTTTTTTATAAGCCTCAGGTAAGCAATTATTATCTAGTACGTTCATAAAAATAATTCTTCATGCTGAAAGTTGTTTTCCATTTCCTCTGGTTCTTCTTCCACTTGATGAACATTTTCTCTCCTAGGAGTTCCCCTGCATGCCTTAAACACGTGACCATATTTTAGACATGCTGTACACTTTGAATTTTTGTGCTTGCATGTATTTGCCAAATGTTGTGGATCACCGCATCTGTAGCACTTTCGTTGAAAATTTAACAAATTCGAAGGAGATATGTTTTTTTGTTGTTGTTCAGGTTTAAATGAAAATTTTTTAATTTGATTTTGAAAAGAAGTACTCGCACATGTTTGTAAAGAATGTATTTCTCTGGAATCTTTTTGTGCTAATTCCATAGTTAGTGCTGTATCAACGCAGTTTTTAAATTTATTATCTGGTTCTTTAAGTTGAATTAGTCTTTCAATTAAATTAGAATTTCGCAGACCACTAATGAACTGAAGACGTAAATGGGCATCAGACGTCGAAGCTTTGCAAGCATCACAGACAAACTTACAATTTGTCGTCATCTTTTTTAATTCAGTTACGTAATTTGCAATAGTTTCCCCTTCTTGTTGGACACGTTTTGTAAAACGGTTTTGCTCTGCGATTATACTTGAAGAAGGATCAAGATGGTTTTGTAAAAGAGAAACCAAAGTCGTATAATCTTTAGATTTAGGATCATCGGGACATGTTAAAGAGTGAATAAGTTGTAGCGTTTTGGTACCCATCGTGTGAAGTAACCATTCTTTCTTTTTAGTATCAATATAGTCTGCGGAACCAGTGAAGTTCTTCATGGAAAAAAAATTGTCTAACCTTTTTATGAACATCTCCCAACTTTCATTTTCTTCTGAGAATGGATCTATTGAAATGGATTCTTGAGTAATTGGAGTAGTATTTTGATTAACTTGTAGAGTCTTTGTAAGTGCAGCCATCAAAGTATTAAATTGTTCAGCATTCATTGTAAAAGGGTTTCTTCGTCCTCGTCGCCAATTTATTATGTATTTACTTTGATTATGGAAGTACAGTATTTGAATAGCAGATATGATAAGTTTACTGACTATTTAATATGAACTTTATTTTCACATACTCTGACATAATGACATACAACAATTAACTGGTAAAGGTGAACAATATAATTTAGTGCATAGTGGACACTACAGTCGGGAGGTAAATAAGTCTTCATTTTATCAAGTATGTAATTCTTTCAGGGAAAATTGGCAATTTTCAGTGTCATTTTCAAGATATTGACATAACATCGTGAAAGCGTTCTCAAAAATATCATTTATAGGTCTTCCTGCTTGTGTGTTGCTTTTTCCAAGGCTTTTTCCCTTTAGAAAAAGGCTGTAACAATTGACATGATATTTTGCCTCAGCTGCTACAAGATCCCCTTCATTGCATATTCTTCTATGCACCTCTCTACTCCACTCATCATTTCTTTCCTTGCAGCATTCAAGAATTGTGTCTTTAATATGTAGTGTAGCAACTGAGCGGATTGTTTGAATTTTGTTTTTTTGCTTCAGAAGGTTTATATCAATGTTCTCGGCACAAAAAAAAACAATATGTCTTGAAATTAAAAACATTCTCAGTTTTTGATCGCAGTGTACTTTTTATTTTTGGCGGTTGTGACACTTCAACACGACCAGGAACTTCTCTACTAAACTGGGAAAGTTCGGTTGGATGCGTGTATTTCCGTCTACATGCTGCATGTACGACCGGCAAATTTTCACTAAAATCTTCCCACTTACCATCCCCGCGAATTTTACTTGCTTTCACTAAACTGGGCAATCCTTTCAAAGTCACCTGCACTGTCTTTTCATTATTGTCTTTCTCACAAATACCACATAGCATATTGTTTTTTAACGAAGTCATGCCCGCTTTTACTATAATATAATATACACTTTACAGTTCGGAATCGACCCACTGTCTCACAACGTCTAATACCTTAGTAAATCCAGCCTGTTACGCATTAAAAGAATATTCAATTAAAATTAATTATATGCAACATACTAACAAGAATCAACTGCTCTGATTGCACGAAAATCAGAAAACAATGTGTTATAATTCACCCGCTGGCCGTTTGGAAACGCCACTTGTCGCGTGGCGGTGATTCCACCTGATCCATATTTATTCTGTAGGTGAATGCGCGGTAAAATACGCGGTTGTGTGTCATGGGCATTTTTGGTTGTCACGAAATCGAGTTTAGGATATAATTTAATCATTAATAATGGGATGATTTGTTAAATAGCTGCACTTACTTCACATTTTATCAAAAAAGGCGCTAAAAGTGAAAAATTTATAAATCAGATTCTAAAAAAAAACTATATCTCCGTTATCCTTCATGTTAAAAAAAAAACGCAGAGACACTTTTTATAGAGAATTAAATTCTCAACAAAAAAGGTTTCTTGAGTTTTCTCGAAAAAACTAATAGAAACTGAGATATTTGGAAAAAACAAAAAAATCCAAGATGGCGGCCATTTTTTTCAACCTTCCACCCCTAGGACTGATTGGGACTTTTGGGAGGTTAAATAGGAGGTCATTTACTAAACATATCCGCTGAAATCAGCTTGTTGCCAATTTGTTGCACCTCCACGTATGTTATGCAGCTACGTTTATCCTACTAACAGTAGAAGACCTGGATCTGGAAGAAATCGCGCTACTTCCGCCCTTGATGATCGCTTCATTAGACTCTCGGCTTTAAGAGATCGGCATACCAGTGCAGTAGTGATAAGAAATGATCTCGAAAGAGTTCGTCAAGTTGCTGTCAATGAAATAACAGTGAGAAGAAGACTTAATTAAAGGCAATTTACGGGCCAGAAGACCGGCAACTGGACCAGAACTCCAAAGACAGCATCGAGTTAATAGACTTCTTTTTTCCCAAGAACACATTAACTGGAACCTTCAAGAGTGGAGGCAAGTTCTATTTTCAGACGAGTCTCGATTTTGCCTGAGGTCTCCTGATGGACGAGAAAGAGTATGGAGATGACAAGGGGAGAGATTCGCCCAATGTACTTTTAGCGAAAGGGTTAGCTTTGGTGGTGGATCACAACTTATTTTTATTGACCGAGGAAATTTATTTGCCCCGAGGTACATTGACGAAATTCTGGGAGAACATTTTGTTGTTTTTGCACAATTTATCGGCAACGAATTCGTTTTGATGCATGACAATGCCCGACCACATACTGCCAGAATAGTAGCCCAATATTTAGAAGAGGTTGGAATGAACGTTATGCGCTGGCCCGCTCGTAGTCCTGACATTAATCTTATGGAACATGTATGGGATGGGACATGTTAGGTAGACGAATTAGGAAACGCCGACGACAGTTGTTCTCTCTCCAACAGCTCCGAAATGCTTTGGAAGAAGAATGGGCTGCTATTCCACAACAGGATATCCAAAACCTGATTAGAGGAATGAATCGACGTTTAGTAGCTATTATAAGAGCAAGAGGAGGTAACACGAGGTACTAACTTTTAAAATCCCTACTTCCATGCTTCAATTAAAAATAGACTTGATCAAAAAGTGTAAGGTTTATTTCAAAAATTTAGACTTGCTCAAAAAGTGTAATGTTTATTTCAAAAATTCATATCTCACAAACCGATAAAGATACCAAAACCAATAAGTAAAATGTTGAAAATGGATCAAACTCTCCAGAAAAGCATATCCAGTGTAGCTTACTTCGCAAAATTACTCTACAGAGTGTTACAAAGCTAAGAGAAAAAATATACTTTTTTATTTTCCTGGTATCCAACATGTAAACTGTATTTTTGAAAATTGAATAAAATTAATTAAAACCAAGACAATTATCTACATTATGAAAAAAAAAAAAAAGATTGAAATCGGACTTTGGAAGAGAAAGTTATCCTACATCAAATTTGATCTAAATTTTGGTTGTCCTGAATTTTATGTCGGTGAGTGTATTTTTGATTTGTCGGATTATTATTTCAAGTTGCCCTACTGTTTCTTTAAAAGAATGGTTATTTTTCTCTTAAAATGTTTTTTTTTTCAATATTTTTTGTAGTGTTTTTTGGTGTCAAAGGACTTGTCTCACTGTGGAACATACTTGTTCCACAAATTCCCAACTTCTTGAAAAAATATGAAAAAAGTTCCACAATGAGACACCTGGTTTTGTTCCAGAATGAGACGATCTGACAACTGCTTTTTTTGCCCCGTATCAGAAGATATTGAATATGGTCGAAGAAAAAAAACATCATGCTAATACTTTCCAAGCATTAAACGACTGGGAAAGCTAAGAGGGAATAGTCTAATACTTTTTGAAGTAAATTCAACCTCATTAAATGTGCATTCATATTTTGAAGGGTTTTATTATATTTTTGATTTGTCGGATTGATATTTCAAGTTGCCCTACTGTTTCTTTAAAAGAATGGTTATTTTTCTCTTAAAATGTTTTTTTTTTCAATATTTTTTGTAGTGTTTTTTGGTGTAAAAAGACTTGTCTCACTGTGGAACATACTTGTTCCACAATGCCCTATTTATTTTTTGAATCGATATACCTATAATCTAATTGCGTTAAATTATGAGAAATATATCAATCTATCTATGAGCATGCAACTTCGAAATTACAAATTTCAATCATAATTTCTGGCTATTTACCGAAACGCAATTTCTGTCTCATTGTGGAACACTTTCCCCTATAATGCCCTCTACCTGGAAAACGAACCATTCATGGACCTTTTTATTTATTTTTGTAAACTCTCTTTGAAATTATTTTCAATATACCTAAGTATCAAAGAATCACTTTTTGCAAGGCTGCTTCAGAGATAGATGTCAGTTATTTATTGACTTTTAGTTTTTGTTGGCATACCTAATCATTATATTATTCTTTCTAATAAATTTTTTTTTTCTAGAACTTCTATGGACCTCTCCAGAGCTTCTCCGTTATAGCAACTTAAGGAAAAAGGGAACACAGCCTGGAGATGTGTATTCTTTCGGAATAATTCTTCAAGAAGTCGTCGTCAGGGGAGAACCGTTTTGTATGTTAGCTTTGACTCCAGAAGGCAAGTAACGATATTTCTGTGCCAATTTTCAATAATAGTTCTAAATTAATACTTTATTTTGGTTAGTTGGTGTGATTTTTGTGCCTATTACCTTTGTAGATAAATTTTTAAAAGCTATGAAAAATCATATCATAGAAAAGGAATCAGAAATTTTAATAAGGGAATTTTATTCTTGTGAAAGACTATAACTTATAAGCACTGAAAATGTTAACTCATTTTGAGTTTCAGATCCCAGAGATACGAATATGATACAATTATGCTAAGGAAAGAAGAGGAAATTAAAATTTTTAAATTTTTTTGCTACTCTTTTTTCAAACTTCTCGGCCTAGAATCTCACAATGATTTACAGTAGACAATGACAGTAGGTACCTATGCGTGCATGGTGTTTGGGCGGAAAATCTCGCTAAGAAAAGAGGAGAAATTTTATAATTTTTCAATTTTCTCGCTGCTCGCTGCTCTTGTTTCAAACATATCGGATTCAAATCTCACAATGATTCGCAGTATGGAGTTTGGGCAGTCCCAGATAATCATTGTCAATTGAAAGTCGAAATCCTAACACGGAATAATTTGAAATTGTAAACTTTTCTATACTAAGGTAACTTCTTCTTCGATTCCCGTTTTGTTATTTGCATATTTTCATCAGTTGTTTCCGTGGTGTAGTGGTTATCACATCCGCCTAACACGCGGAAGGTCCCCGGTTCGATCCCGGGCGGAAACAAAACTTTTTTGCTTTTTTAGAAATATTTTCATTATTTTTTTCATCTTTTCTCCGCGAGAATCACCTATTCAATAATAACTAAAATACAGGGTGTCCCAGCCGAGAATGACCCATTTTAAATGCTTATAACTTTTGTACCAGGTGTGCTAGCTACCTGCGGTTTGTGCCATTCGATTTCTCTTGGCCTAAAGTTTTTTCTGGTAGGTTGAAATTTTTTTTGAAACTTATACAGGGCGAATAAAAAAAAATCCGTTTTTCAACATCGAAATTCTTCACTATTTCTGATGGAACACCCTGTATATCACAACTTCGAAAAAAGATTCATGTTCAAGGTATACATGTAGTTACCAATAGACATTTGCTTGCCACCCACGTTATCTGCGCAAAGAGGCATATTTGTGTGCGTCAATAAAGGACCCCGCAATATTTAAATGGAAATTGGTTACCCGTGATATTTGGATGAATTTGAATATGTTATTGGGGATGCCGTAAGCAACATTTTTTACCATGGGCACAACCCTGTATATGTATATGACAGGTGAGGCGTGATTAGCTGTCAAATATTCGAATCTTATATCTAAAAGCAGAGTAACTATGGCAGATTTTGATGAACAAAAAATCTATTTTTACTAAGTCGACCAAGTTGAGTCGAAAAATGTCAACTATTTCAACACCTTTCAAAACCCTGCCAAACGGCAGCACTCATCTTTTCCAGTTTCCAATATTTTATGTTGTCATTTGACATTTTTAACTTATTTGTAAATTCTAAATTCAAAAATTGAAAAAAAAAATGACAGAACTGTCAAAACCTGTCATTAGTTTTAGTAGAAAAAAAAAACTCTAATCTGGTCCTTCCTCGTTTAAGGGCAGTTTATTGGTGATAAAACATTGAACAAAGTTCATGCACGTCACATTTTGACAGCTGTCATTTTTTTTTTTCAATTTTTGAATTCAGAATTTACATAGGTATAAGTTAAAAATGTCAAATGACAACATAAAACATTGAAAACTGGACAAGATGAGTGCTGTCATTCGGCAGGGTTTTGACAGGTGTTAAAATGGTTGACATTTCTCGACTTAGCTTGGTCGACTTAGTAGAAATAGATTTTTTGTTCATCAAAATCTGCCATAGTTACTCTGCTTTTGGATATCAGATTCCAATATTTGACAGCTAACCACGCCTCACCTGTCATATATACAGGGTTGTGCCCATGGTAAACCAGATGTCAAATTTTTGACATGACGCTTCCTAGATAAATAACTACCTAATTAATGATTGTCATTGTCATTAATTGTCATTTCAAACCATGAATTCATTTTAATAAATCTAGAAATTTTTTCAGGTTTTGATATCATTTTTCGGGGATAATACCACATAATACCACGAGAGCTTCAAAATTACGGATAATTTTTCACGATTCAAAAATGTCCTATTGAGATTTTTTTTTTTTATATAAAGCAAAATGAGCTCTTACCAATCAATGAAAAAAAAGATGGCGTTCCCATTTAAAAAAAAGATCAATGACATATCTTGGAGAGGAAATATTTTTTCTCCTATATCTCTGCGTAACTTTTCCCTACACGTCTTCTTATTCCTATTTCCAAAATTTCATCAAATTCCATCGAGCCGTTTTCTCAGAAAAATGCCAACACACACACATACACATATACATATAGAATTTTTAATACCTATTTAGAAGTACCAGTCGTTCTAGTGATAAAACGTATGTCGCTTCTTGAAAACACAAATAAAATTGGGTTAGGAATTTCCTATTTGTACATGAATTTGACGTGTTAGCAATCGACATTCGTTTTTGTTGGTAATTTTTTGTTTCATCTGATTCGTGATTAATAAATAAGGATGAGATTATTCTAAATGGGTATTAAAAATACATACACACATAATGTCTGCCCAGCGAGTCTGTGTCTACGGGGCAACGGTGAGGGGAATGCAGTTGTGAAAAAAAATGGCTGATTTCATTCATAAAATACCCAGCTGCGTGCGGAACTTTTTGGAAGTGTTATCGTATTGCAACTCTTACACGAAAATCAACAATAACCAAATCTCCGCCACTGGATATTTCAATATAAATCGATATTCCAAGATGGGAGGATAAAATGACGTGAGCCCTTGTCAATAGCGAGACGTAAGGTGACGTTAGCTCATTGACAACTGTATGGTTCCCCATGACAACGGCGATCCTGCCAAAAACTCCACCAATCAGGTTCATCCAGGATGGATGTTTGCCAAATTGTCAAAAACTGATGGTATCTTTAGAAAATGTTTATTTCTTTTAAATAAATCAGGATTAAAATAGGGATAGATCTAACAACCACGTTAAAATATTTAGCATTTTATTATTGTTATCAATATTTTGTTATTAAAAAATGGATTTTCAAATGAACTATACTTCATGCCTAGTATTTTCGCTTTTTTATAATTAAACGTGACAACATGGCACATTTACGTCCGAATTCCTTCCGTAGACTCAGATCCGCTGGGCAAACAATACATACATACACACATACACCTATACGTACCCAGAGTACAAAGTGAGGACATCCCCCCTACCAATTTGTACCGAGGACAGGGTCAAATATTGCTTATTTTCTAATATATTTTACAATACACTCCCATTTGGCATTCATAGTTTCCTAATGTTTACCGGATATATTTAAAGAAGCTTTTTTAAATTTAATTATGTGGTTTATTACTACTATATAAGGACCCTACCAAAACGATTCTATCAGAGGACGTTCTCATAACGTATGTCCTAATAGGGCAGTGCATTGGCGGACCAATAGCGGCGTAGTTACTCATAGCAACTTGCTAAGTGAAGAAATACTTTAAAAACCGGAAAACGACTGAAACGAGGCAGGAAACTGAGGCTAGGAATCAGTATCACTGATATCAGGCTTTAAAGTCCATTCCAAAATAATTCGTTGACTCTTCAAGTATCAATAAAATGTTGATGATACCCTCAACCACAAACTTCGACTACCTGTGAGCAGGTCCGGGTTGATTTTATTTATTATACCTGCCTAGGTGAGATGTACATGTAAATGTGGGTGAATGTTTTAGTTAAATTATTTAGTTATTGAATTGTGTATTGTATTATATTGTATTAGATATTAAGTTTTGGTAATTATTAAGATAGTATAAGATTATAACATAAATAAATAATATTATGAAACGCCTTTTTCGTTTTCATTATAATGGGCACAAAATCCGTACCTGTAAACCTTTGAGTGGGTATTAAGGAACCCGGTACCTACATAAAAGAACCTGGTACCTACACAATAGAGGCTAATAGCTATCTAATTTATGGTAGGGTTTTATAGCCGTGAAGTCAACGAAATATTTTGGAATGGACTTTACTTCTGTTGCGGACGGCTAAAATTACATGTAAGGATAAAAAGGCTTTTCAAGCGGCTGCTGTGAACTAACGGTCGTTCTCCAGGAAAATAAGCTGTGAACTAGAGGTAAGTTAATATCTGTAACTGTATGCAGGGTGTTACAAATTTGATGTTCACCATTGGCATATTGGCATCTCGGAATTAGTTAGAGATTGAGGGTCGGTTAAATAAAGATAAAGTTGCGTAATATCCGGATGAAGGCTTATCGGTTAATCCACAAAAAACCGTAATTGTCCCGTTCACAAACAAAAGAGTGCTAAGAGGACTTCGATGTCCTAAACTCAATGGAGTGCAAATCCCCTTCTCAAAAGAGGTCAAATATCTAGGAGTTACTTTTGACCAGAAGATGACCTGGAATCTACACCTCAATAAAGTTGTCCAGAAGGACAAAATTTCCCTGGGGAGATGCAGAAGGCTCTGTGGAAAAAGCTGGGGACTTAATCCAAAGATGAATCTATGGTTATACAAAATGGTCATAAGACCAATGATAACCTACGGTTCGGTTGCCTGGGGTGCAAAGGTCACACGGACCATAGCAATCAGACAGCTTCAAAATGTACAAAGGCTAGCCTGCGTATGCATCACGAGTGCCATGAAAACAGACCCAACCACAGCCTTAGAGGTGCTGCTAAACCTGCCGCCACTACATATCTACATACAGGGTGAAGTAAAGGCGAAGCAAGGCCAGGGTCCAATTATAAAACACCAAAGGCCCATTAGCTGGAAAATAGAGGAGGACCCAGAGGTAAACTCATTGTTAGGGATGCCCTCAGACAAAACAAAACCTATCTTCATTTTCAATAGGCACTTCCGTGTTGCCATACCAGAGAAGAAAAACTGGGGAAAAGGTCCCCTAATTAAAGCA